CGTAAGCTTCTGTTCCGTATCAGTTCCATACATTTTATTGTATACAATTTATAGCATTACGAAATATTTATTTCAAAAATGTGTATCTTTTGAAAAAGGTAATAGATCTAATTAAGAGGTGAAAGAATAAATAAATATTAGCAAAATGTTAACAGAGCTGGTACAAATGTAAGAACTTGACAACGCTGTTTCCGTACGCTTCAGTCCGTCCACCAAAAAATGTATGGAAGGAAAGAATATGGAACAGAAGAGAAACGTAACTGTTCCGTTTAGGGAATGCAATCCCGCAAATTCCTTGATCCCGCAAATGCGGGATCCCTCTAAGATTTCGCGGGATCAAAGTTGCAGGATTTACCGTGCGGGATCCGCGGGATCAACACATTACCAAACATTACTACTGGGTAACCGAATCGATCTCGATTAAGATCAAACCGCTTCGTTCCGGGCCGATGCGTCGACGCTCGGAACCCGGGGGATTCCCCTTCCGGCTTGGCCATTAAAAATAAGTGAAACAACCATTTTGGTGCGGGATTGCATTTCCCTAGTTCCGTTTAATAAATAACAAAACATATACGTATATGCACACTACACGTTACGTATAGTGTGCATTGTCCTATTCATTTACATGATATAATATTTATTGTAAAGGGAAGGAAAACGGAAGGGAGCTGATATGGAAAGTATAGTGATAATCAACCTTAATAATTATTACCAGTTATAGAACCTAACTATACTTTATCTAGTGAATTTTGGCAATTCTAAACAAATTTCTCGTTCCGCATTTCACTGGCTGGATAAAATCGAACGTAAGCAGCTTTTTACGGTGAATTTAGAGACACCTTGTCGGAATTTAAAGAGGGGTGTTTTATTGAAAAGCTCTTTCAGTTGACGGGGACATTTTCGGGATACAATGGGGAATTCCTCTATTGTCGGACTAGATTTCGATCCGGGGATTTTTCCTCTTTTTTTGTCTCCTCCTCTCGAAAATGGGGACTCTGGAGCGGCAGCTTCGCAGTAAAATTTAGAATTCTGATTTAAATAACCTAATAGAAAAGGACTAGGAATCTTTAAGAATGAAGAAATCTTTCGACAATATAAGTAATATTTTAGGGGATAAAGAAGTTTGTACGAGTTCTACAATGGGTTTCAGGGATTTTAATTACTTTTCCTAAACTTTAAATACTCATAAAAATAAGTCGTTTTTCCGTAAATATATACCGTGTGGTGCATCGGACACGGTATAGGAAATCCCATGTAAATTTTGAAAAGATCAAATATTATCTCCCCAGATAAGTTTATGCAAAATTTGTATTAGACTTTTTTCAATAGGCGTTAAAATTGTACTTTTGTCTAGAATTTCGTTTCATTTAGATTATTATAAAAAGGTATAATACGGCACAGAGAAAGCTCCAATTAAAATACCAACAAAAATGTGATGTCATTGTCATATTCGATGTCGCATTTTGTCATAGATAAAGGAAATAATGCATTTTGTTTACAAAAATTTGAAGGTACCAAATAGAGTAATTTTGTATAAAACTAGCGTGTACCAGCGACTTCGTTCGGGTCGAATTAATCATTTGTAATGGTGATGATAAAGCAAAGCAAGAATTTCCATTAACATACAAACTGGATAAAAAATTTTCACATTTATGTCAGCATGAGAAAAAACAATATGGCGATATTATTATATAACTTGGTAATATTTGAGGGGTAGTTTCATCTCGTTGGAATTTGACTTTCGAAAAATCCCTTTGCCAAAAATACGCTTTTTACGTCAAGCAGTTTAAGCAGAATCGTGGTTAAGAAATTACCCAACTTTTTGGAACACCCTGTATGATTTTTTAAAAAATTTCAAGATATATAAAAAAAACAAATAAATTATGCTTGTCCAAGCGTTTTCCCGAAAGACTAACCATTTTTTAAATAACAAATATTGTAATCTTTAAGGGGCGTTTTCACCCTGTTGGAATTTGAGATTCGAGAAACCCCTCCTTATCGAACCTCTACACCCCACAGTCAATCCGTTTGCCAAAAACCAGCTTTAAACGTCAAGCAGTTTAAGCAGAATCGTGATTACTCAATGGTCATATTTTATGAAACACCCTGTATAAATTTTCAAAAAATCTTAAAAGATGTAAAACAACAAAATAAAATATACGTGTTTAAGAGTTTTTCCGAAAAACTCGCCGGTTTTTAAATAAAAAATATTTTAATATTTGAGGGATAGTTTCACCCTCTTAGAATTCGAGTTTCGTAAAATCCCTTCTTATCGAACCTCTACACCCTAAAGTCAATCCGTTTTCCAAAAATCAGCTTTTTACGTCAAGCGCTTTAAGCAGGATCGTGATTAATCAATGACCAGATTTTTTGAAACATCTTGTATACATTTTTCAAAAATCTTAAAATATGTAAAAAAACAAAATAAAATATACGTGTTTAAGCGTTTTTTCGGAAACTTGACCGTTTTTTAAATAAAAAATATTGTAATGTTTGAGGGGTGGGTTCACCCTCTTGGAACTGGAATTTCGAAAAATCCCTTCTTATCGAACCTCTACACCCTAGAATCAACCTGTATGCCAAAATTGAGCTTCTTACGTTGAGTAGTTTGAGCAGGATCGTGATTAATCAGTATGTCAGTCACTCGAGGATTTTATATATTAGTATAGATTATAGTTGTTTATATAATATTTTATTCTAACCTGTATCTATAATAAATTAATATAGATAATAAGAAAATCAAAGAACATTAATATTAACATTTAAAAAATAGGTATTTAAATTGAATTTTGGTTGTCTTCAATTGAGGGAAATTTTATTGATTTAAGATATTTTACTGATTTAACTTGCAGATTATCATGATTTAAGTAAAAAGAGACTTAAGTCAAAAAAGACTTAAATAACGTAATATTGATTTAAGTCTTTACAAAAATGACTTGACCTGAAAGAAAATGACTTAAGTCAAAGACTTAAAACTTAAGTCATTTGAACTTTATGTTGAAATTGACTTAAGACTTGAATCATTTTAATTTTAGAAATGACTTAAGACTTAAGTCTTTTTAAAACTGAATTTTTGGAGCTCTGACAGTAGGTATGTAGCTAAATACAGTTGAGATTGGAATATTTGTCATTACAAGATTAAAATAATACGTAATACATTACATTATACATTATATGTAATACATTTAAAGTTCAATTTGTCAAATGACCGAAAATATTACATACAGTAAGCCGAACAATCTAAAGCGGAAACAAAACGCAAAAGCAACATTTACGGCAACACACAGTTGGACAAAATCAGTAATAAAGTGACGTCCGTCGCAACGTTAACTGGCGAAAAACTCGTAAAAAAGGGCGAAAAGGAACGAATTTACGAGCAGGTCATTAAATCGAAAACGCCCTACATAAAACTGTTAAAAGGGGATATTTGGACGAATTAAAAATGTTCCACGCAACCGGCTTATCGATCGAGGGACAAGCGCCACAACATTTTCACGATTTTACGTTAAATTTTCACGAATTTTCCGAATTTTTTCAACGATTTTCAAAGGACCATATTCCGTACCCTTATACATCATTCATTAGCATGGAATATTTTTAAATGTGGTCAGTTACTATAAGTAGATTTCTAAACATTCGTAAATGCCAATGCGAATATTGCCGAATATACTGGCGAATACACTAGAAGAAATCTTCCGTCAACTAAACGGGAACAAGCCATGACCTAGTCCTAATTGCCAATAGTCCGGAAGAACTACAAACACAAATTAACGAACTAAATACAGCCAGCAATAAAGTAGGTCTCAAAACGAATTAAGCAAAAACAAGACAGAAGTAGACAGAAAAAGACAAAAAGTCCACAGAAAAGAATTCTAGTAAATAACACAAAACTAAAAATAGAAGAATGAATGCCTATATTTGGGACAACTAATACACAGCTCGGGATCTCTACTACCAGAAATCAAGCGAAGAATTAAATTAGCATGGAGTACTTATGGAAGAAATTCATTCAATCATATTTAAATCTAAAATGCCAGTTTTTCTGAAGAAGAAAACATTCGACCAATGTGTACTACAAGTTATGTCACCTATGCATGCGAAACCTGGACACTTAAAACGGACATTATAAGAAAACTGCAGGACTCACAACACTCAATGGAACGAAATATGCCTAATTAAAAGAATAGAGTGGAACCGACAATAGACCCAGGTAATATATGTCATTCCTAGAATCAAATCCCTCAAGTGGCAATGGGCAGGACACCTGGCAAGAAGGACGGACAATAGATGGACCACAAAAATTACAGCATGGTACACACGAGGAATTAAGAGATCTAAAGGAAGACCAAACCTGAGATGGGACCATATGATATTAGGAACTTAGCAGGGATAACTTGGGCCCGCATTTAGGGTAATGAAGGGTAAGAGTACGAGTCGACCAAGAGTCCGCATTGCCCTTAGTTTAGACGCCCACTTGTAGATGGTGCTATAGACCCGATCGGTTATTCATTTTAGTGTGTACGTTCAGAACAATCAAAATTTCTATGTGTCTCAAGCGGCTGTCGCGCGGAAATCCAATAATTAAGAATTTTACCAGTTTTGATCTAGTTTTTTCGTGTAACTTGGTAGTGATTGAATAGTACCTGTTGCTTATTGTTCAATTTATGTAAGTATTATTAAAAACTAATGCTTCCGAGGTTTTGATCGATGTGTTAAGTTTATAGGTTATGTTGAAAAAAAAGTGTCCATGAGTTAATAAATAGAATTTCTGTGAGAAGGTTAAGAGTACGCGTTCTAAGAGTACGCATGCGTACTCTTAGCTGGATGCGTGCTCTTAGCCTAATATGCGTACTTTTTACCTGTTAGAATTTTCATAGCACAGTTTTAAAGTATGTTTTATTATTTTAGATCGATATGGGTAAATATCGACGCAAGACTGATAGGAAGTTAATATTTACGGCAGACTATTAGAACAAGTAAAGGAGAAACTGCTGCAAGGAATGAGTAAACGCTCAATAGCAGATTCAATCGGCGTACATGAAGCAACATTAAGAAAACGGCTAAAAGCAGGAACGGTGCCTACATCACTGGGTCGCTTCAAATTAGTTTTTACCCCAGAAATGGAAGAGGAACTGGCTATTTATTGTAGAGATTTAGATAAAACATTCTATGGGCTCACACTTAAGGCACTTGGTAACTTGGTTTTTGAGTATGCCGAAAGAAATAACTTAAACCACAGATTTAATAAAGAAAAAAGATCGGCCGGAAAAGATTGGGTGTACTCATTTTGTAAGCGTCATAAACTTAGTTTACGTGTTCCAGAAAAAACAAGCCTTGCTCGCGCTGCTGGCTTTAATAGGCCTCAAGTAGAACTGTTTTTCAGAAACCTAAGACAAATCTTGAATGAGAAAAAAATACTGCCGCACCGTTTGTACAACATGGATGAATCTGGTATCCTAACCGTGCCCAACAAATTACCCAAGGTTGTAGCTCCCAGAGGGAAAAGAACTGTAGGAAAAATCGTTTCATCTGAGAGGGGCCAGTTAATAACTGCGGTGTGTTGTATGGGAGCAACTGGACAATACATTCCACCTGCACTGGTTTTTCCACGAAAGAGACTGAAAGCTGAGCTAACTGATAGAGCTCCAGCAGGGACACTCCAGCTTGTTTCAGACTCGGGATTCATCACTAGCGAGCTCTTCCTGGATGGCTGGATCATTTTCAAACATTTTGCAAAAGCTCAGTTGAAGACCCAGTTTTACTCGTTTTAGATAATCATTCGAGCCATGTGAGTTTACAAGCAGTTATGAAATGTCGCGGGTTGGGTATTAACATGTTAAGTTTACCTCCCCATTGTAGCCACAAAATCCAGCCACTGGATAAAAATTTTTTCGGACCACTGAAAAGCGCTTATGCCCAAGAATGCGACAAATGGCATGTCAATAATCCGGGGCGACCAATTACTATGTTTCAAGTAGCTGAATTGTTCGCAAATGCCTACAGTAGAATAGCATCAATTGAAAGAGCGATAAAAGCTTTTGAAATATGCGGTATTTTTCCATATAATCCGCATGTGTTTTCGGAAGAAGAATTTGCACCCGCTACAGTGACAGATCAACCATTTCCAAACCAAAACTCCAGTGCAGATGAATACGACAGTGATGAAGATTTACCCTTATCAGTTCTTCAGCACAAACTGATGGAAAACATTCCGACAAAGACTATACTCCCAACACCTGTATCAAGGTCACAAAATTCACCGCCTTCAACGCCACTAGAAAAGTTGGCCCACTCTCCACTGCCCTCAACATCTTCTCGGGGAAAGCAAACACCATCACCAACACTAAGGGTACGAAATTCACCGCCTTCCACACCACCACAAAATTCGACCAACTTTATCTCGCCGAAATTAATAAAACCACTACCAAAAGCACTACCAAGAGCTGCCAATGATGTGTCAAATTGATTTTTTTTCTAATATACTTTTATGCTGTATTTCTTATTCCCGTGTGAAACATTTATTTAAAACCTTTAAGTTTATTATAATATTTTTAAATTGTTCTTAGCTTTCATATTTTGACTTATATAAACAGTTTACTGAGGATTGCGTATTCTTACCCTCCATTCCCCTAATAGTCAATAATGGGCAAAAAGAGTATAACTACAAAAAGAGAATCTAAATATGTAAAATGTGTAAAAAGAGTATCTAAATATGTGAGGGAGGCTACACAATAATTGAAAACGGTTAAATAAGCTGAGAATGATGATGATGATACTGATGAATATATTCTTCTTCTAGTGCGAATCCATTAATGGATGTTTGCGATAACATTTTCCATCGCTTCTCTATTCCAGGCGGTGTTTATTAACGACTGTACATCGTGTAGGCCTGTCCACTGTCTAACATTCCTCAGCCAAGACATTTTCTTCCTTCCGATACCCCTCTGGCCTTCGATCTTGCCTTCGATTAACAGATGCAAGAATTGATATTTGGGGTTTCGCATTATGTGCCCCAGGTATGCGGTTTTTTTCTTCTTAATCAATTCAAACAATTCGCGCTGTTTGTTGACACGTCTCAGAACTTCCTCATTCGTTAACCTAGCCGTCCAAGGTATCTTCAGAATTCTGCGATATAGCCACATCTCGAAAGCCTCTAGTTTATTAATGGCAGCTGTTTTCAATGTCCAACCTTCCATACCATAAAGGAGCACCGACCACACGTAACACTTTACGAATCTTAAAATCTGAGATTAAGATCAAAATCAGAACAGACAAGTACTTTTCGGAACCTTAAGAATGCCTGCCGAGCTTGTTCGATTCGAAATTTAATATACTTGTCTGATGTCCAATCTTCGGAGAGCAAGATGCTCAAGTACTTAAATTTATCTACCCTTTCTATGAGCCTTGTATTAAATGTTATAATGGAGTTTTTAAACATATCTGGATTTCTGGATATTATCATAAATTTAGTTTTCTTGATGTTTATGTTTAAACCCATTGCTTTACTCTGTTCTCCTACCTTGTTGACCAGTTGTTGTAGATCGTGTATATTATCTGCATTCAAGACCGTATCGTCGGCGTAGCGGATGTTATTAATCCACACTCCGTTAACTTTGACTCCCATTTCCACGTCCTCTAGAGCCTCTTGGAAAATAGCCTCTGAGTACAAATTGAATAGGAGTGGAGACAGCACGCAACCCTGTCGTAGACCCCTTCTAACTTGTATGGGATTGGACATGGTATTGGCCAATTTTATTTGTGCTGTTTGGTTCCAGTACAAGTTTTCGATGTATTGTATGTCTTTTTGGTCTGTCAAGCCTTTTGAGTAGCTGCATTAATTTGTGGTGTTGCACGCGATCGAATGCCTTTTCATAGTCTATGAAACACAGGCACACATCCTTTCTCTGATCGTAGCAGTTCTGGACAAGCACCTGTGTTGCAACTATCGCTTCCCTTGTACCTACCCCTTGCCTGAACCCCATTTGTGAATCGCATGTCCCTTTCACATTTTTTGTAAATTCTCTGGTGTATGATTTTCAGAAATATTTTTAGGGTATGGCTCATCAGGCTGATAAGTCTATGATCTTTACATTTTCTGGCATTGGCCTTCTTAGGCAGGGGAATAAAAGTAGAACGCAACCACTGTTTGGGGTAGTGACCTGTCTCATATATGAGAGGCTGATAGCAAAAGTGGGTTAAAATTTTACTCTCGGCAAAAACGGTTTGCGTTTTTCAGAGGACAAAAGCGGTTTAAGTAGCAATGAGAGCAAAAATGAGAGAAAGAAACTTTACCGTAAAAATGGGTTATAATTATATGCCACTTTTACTCTAAGATTAAAAATATTCCTTTTTTGTCCGAAGAAAAAATCGTTAATTTACTATTAGATAAAAAATCTGTTTGTGTATTTGCCAGTCAGGTTTATTCATGTTCCTCTAGTTTTCTATACAAAAATAACATTTGCACCATATGCAACAAGTAGTGTAAAAATCAACTTTTTATAAGCTTTCTATTTAATTTGCTTTGTATGTATGTTTGTTCGGGGCAAATCTTGTAAGCTAAATTAGAACCACTTCCTTTTGATTGTAGGAAATTATACATTTGTTTACAAGGCATGACCAGAATTTTTGATTAGCTGTTAAAATGGCGGCCAAAATGGCGCCATTTTTGAGGTTTTTGATTTTTAAAATTCTATTATAAAAAAAAATTATTATAATATAGGTATATTGTGGGTATATACATATGAAAAAAAAAATATGTGGGCGGCTATCTTGAAAAATGACAGTTTAATGACATGTCAAAATTTCGAAGTGAACCGATTTTGATAAAAATCATAATATATATATATATATATATATATATATATATATATATATATATATATATATATATATATATATATATATATATATATATATATATATAGGATGGCCATGGGCTAAAATGAAAGAAGAAAAAAATTCAGCTGTCAGAATTGACAGCTGTCCAAAAAAATTTCAAAGTTGTCCGATTTTGATAAAAATCGATATATTGGATGCCCCCTACCCCATAGTCGGTTTTCGTTTTATTTGTCTCACATTTGAACTGTCAAATTTGACAGCTGTCGTTTTTTTTAAGTTCTCCTTTGTTAATGAAAATCGATATACATATTATTAGGATGCCCATAGAAAGTTATTTAAGAAAAACCAGCATAACTAAAAAGTAAAAATAAATTTTAAGAAAAAGAACTTTTTAAAAACAAGCTTTTTTTTAAATACACAAAAAGAAAAAAAAACTTTTTTTTTAAATTTTATTATGAACTTTATAACTTCATTACATAATTTTAATATTATATTAAATCTTGTCGCGAGATTTGAGTGTACAGTTGCACTCATCAAAAAATCTGGTACGACAACTTTACTTTAAGTATATACAATATACATGACAATCTAAAACCTGTGTCTACCCTGTCTCATTTTGAAAGTTTGTCTTATGATACACCACTAGAAAAGGAATTACAAGATAAAGTTGTCGTACAACTGTACACTCAAATCTCGCTACAAGCTTTTATATAATATAAAATTATGTAATGACGTTATAAAAGTTCATAATAAAAATTTAAAAAATTTTTTTTTTCTTTTTAGTGTATTTAAATTGCTAAGGGCATAAAATCAGTTCTATGAATTGATTTTTACAACGTTGTAGCTGGGGGGTAAGGGTGGGGGGGGGCGTTGTGACTCCGCCCCATAAAAAGTATAAAAATATTATATATGCATGTTTATTACAAATTTATTTTATTTTTACTCTACTAATGAAATGAGGAAATTAAGTGTACTTACTTATCTATTATCCTTAAAGTCACTGAACACTGAATTTATTTTTTCAAAATACAAATTCGTAAATAAATTATATTAAATAAAAAATAAAACAAAATTCAAAAAAATATTAAACAAATAAAAATATTATATTCTTCCGTATTACACGTGCGGACACAATCAATGCAAATACGTATGTGGTCCCAGTCCGCATTTTCTTTTCGAAAAATCGCATAAAAAGAGGGGAGTAATTTAATTTTTCTATGAAATATATTTTTCTTCAAATGGCATCGGCGGCGGCGGTCGTGTGTGATATCAAAGCGCGTGCCGAAGTCAAAAGGTGCCGACCAGATATAAACTAAACAAGTTATATTCGGAAGTGCACATCTAGACAATGGAAATAATTTTTGTATAATTATATTTCTTCACTTTTGAAAATTTCCGAGCCGTTAGGCTTTTATATTTTCCTATGACTAAAATACTGTGTTTTGTAATATCAAACTCATTATCTTATAGGTATAAAAATGTGTGTGAAACACAAAAAAATTAAATAAACAGCAGTACAGCAGTGTGAAGCAAAAAAATATAAATAATTACTATATCAATAGGTATATACCGTATGATAAAAAAAACGGCATCCAGTTGGCTTGGAAATAAACATCAATGACATTCCCCATATAATTTTACATATAAAATGACAGCGAACTTCATTTCATAGTCATCGCTGACGCCGTTCTTTTTTCGGTCATATTGTATCTTTTAAAAGATTTGAATCTTTTTTAAAATAACTTAAGTCGTTAAAAAAAGATTTAAGTATTTTAAGTCATCTTTCGAAATAAATGAAATGACTTAAGTCATTTGATTTATCGACTTAAAATCAAATGACTTAAGTCACTAAAATGATTTAAGTCAAAAAAAGACTGTTTTCAAAAAAAGTTTTCTGTGAGCTTGCAGCTCTGCTAGAGATGCTTTGCCATAC